CCAAAGCGAGAGGGAGCCGGCATGGTGCAGCATCTCCCTTCTCCGGCCCGAGAGCAGAGGCTGCGACGTCAGCCAGACCCTTATTTCCTATAACCACGCAATTTTGGGTAATAAGCCCCCCCCAAAAAACCCCGAAATTGCTGGGATTTCTAAGTTTTCGCATCGTTTTTCCACTTCGTTCCCCCAATTTAAAGAGTCAAGGCAACCAATAAGCACACCGACACCGAGGGCTATGAATTATTCTTCTTTTAATCTCACATGGTTTAAAATACGATATGAAATAAGGCTACAGTATATAAAAAACTCTCCAGCAAAATGATGTGCCAGCATCAGCAATTAAAACAAAACCAATCCCCTCCTTCTTTAAGAATTCAATGTAGGAGGGACTTTTTTTTTTTTTTGTATCCTTTAAAAAACAAAACGAAACGAAACAAAACACAACACACGGACACACACACACATCGCTACATCTCTAAGCTACCTCAGCTCAGTTTTTTTTTAAAAAGCACCTGCTTTTTCCTTTTTTTTTTTTTTTGCTTAATCTCGCTTTTAAAATTTTTTTCCACTTTTAAAAAATATAAATTATATGAAAATACAAGTTGGAAAATAGTCGAACAGCACAATATAACAATCTCTTTTTTTTTCTTCTTCTTCTTCTATGTTTATCAGCTTAAAAAAAAAATCCCATGTGTAAAAACAAAACAGAACAAAAAAACAACCTTTTTTTTTTCCTTTTTTTTTTCTTTTTTTTACACTGAGGCAGTTAATTCCTGGAGATATTCCATTATAACATATATGTATACATAGATTTATCATTTATTTAAACCTCTTTGGAATGTAGACAACAGCTCACGGGTGTTATATAGACCCTACCAGAGAGCAGAGCACGCCAAGGCATCCAAATTTTGCCACGCTAACAAGGAACAAGCAACCAAGCCCTAAAGCCTCGCAGAAAACCCCTCCAGAAGAGCAAGAGGCAGAAGACGGAGACGTTTCCCGCAGTGTCTGAATTTATCGGTGCTTCTTGGGACCTGCTTTTTGGAGGAGGGGTTGGTTTGGAAAGACGCGAGGAGGTTAAATCATACTGTATCTTCTATTGCTCGCCCTGTTTGGCTGTTTCTCCACCGGAACCATCACGTCTGGTGTGGAAATAAAACGGATCTGGACAGGAGTGTCCATGGGTTGTGGTCAACCTGCACCCAGAGACGGAGGACAGAGACAGGCAGTAGAAAAAGTGCTTGCATTTTTCATCAGTTTGGGTTTTTTTTCCCTTTACTGAGGTCCAAAGGGCCAAGGGGACATGCCCCCGCCCGGAGAACACCAGATCATGAGCAGGACACAGAAAATACCCACACCCCTCCCAAAAAAAATCACCAAAAGCACCCCAAGACATTCCAACCCAAGCCAAAATTACCCAATTTCCAAAAGCCACGTAAATCTGCCAAGGGCGAAGCTCATCCCCCCGCAGAGAAACCACCACAGGAGCGAGTCCCATCCCCGGCAGATCTCCATCATCTCCTCTCCAACCCATCCTTTTGGTCCAGCACGTGGGTGGGGGTTAACCAAATTTTCACGGCCTTGAAAAATAGGAGGTCAAGAGGGTTTGGGTTCCAGCACATCCCTCGCAATTCAAAAGCGGAAAGAACAAGAAATAAAAAAAAAAAAACAAAAACAAAAAAAAACCCCAAAACAAAAACAAATCTGCAAATTTCCAGTGTATAAACAGTACACAGCCCTCTCCGGGATGGTCTCTACATTGGGAATAAGTAAAGGAAAATAGAAAACGATGAACCTGACGTCCCTCGGACTGTACTGCCCATCGCTGCTGCGCTTGCACACGGGTTGCGAGCTGGGATGGCAAACGGCCGGGAGAAACGAGGGAGAAGCTACTACCGAAAAACACAACTGCTTTCCACGACTACGCCCTTTCTAACCTTCAGCCCGTCTTCCTAAAATCACCGGGAACACATAGGTTCGGCTTGGAAACCTGGCAAAAACAAGCACAGCGGAGGGGAGGAGGAATTTAGCCTGGCAGAAGGATGAGGCTGGTACCCGAATCCCTGTTTCCATCCAGCGGTGGGAAATTTTATCCCTGGTTTCCGCTTGAAAAAGGCACTTCAGCTGCAGCGAAGCATCCCAGCAAAGCAAGAGACATGTCCTGGGACACGGAGCCGTGCCGAGGGCAGGAGCCGGGGCGCCTGGCCTCCGGGCAGCACCCTTTCGGAGGGTATAAGGGGGATTTTTCAAAGCAATATCCGAAGCGGCCCGTGAAGGGTAAGCTAAGGGCACTTTGCAGCTGCGCGCACACCGGCAATCCTGAACGCCTTAAAAAACGCCCGCCCGAGTGCTGCAGATCCTACCCAGATGATGGGTCCTGTTGGGATGCTCTTTAACTGCTCCTCCCCCGCACGTTTCCGCACCCTCACCTCTTGCTCGAGTCCCTTTTCAGCCTTGGCTCTGCGGCAGAGCTCTGCCCCGGTGCTTTGCCAGGTGGGGGGACCTCCTCCACGCTTATCTACGTTTTCCTTTCCTCTCTCCGGCTCGGCTGAGCTGCTTTCTGCCCTCTCTGCCCAAGGAGATGAGCTGAAGTTTAACCTCCCAGCTGGCAGAGTCCCTTTCCTCCTTTGGTACACGCTCCTTCCACCTCCTTTCCCTCTCTTTTCCCTTCCTTTCCATCCATCTCACCCTCTTCTCTCCCTGTGCTCAGCGGGACGATGCGCAGTCCCCTGCGAGCGTTAGCGTAACCTCCCTTGCCTAAACCACCATCTGCTTCCATCCCCCTTGGCTTGGAGCTCCCTCGGCGCCCTCCACCACCACCTTTTTTTCCAACACACAGCAATTTTGGGGCTGACTCACCCCAAAACACCCAACTGGGGACACAGAGATGCTGGGTGTCCCAAGCTCCGGAGAGCCCAGGACCTCAAGCATCACCTTCCCCCAGGGTCAAGCTCCCCATCCCTGTGCAGGGGAGTTACGTGCCTGAATATTTCGGCTCTTTGCGCGCAGAATCCTGTCCTGCCCACCCGAAATATCAGCCTGTATCAGGCAGGCATCTCTGCAAAGCCTCTCACCCCCCCCCACCACCTCACAGTGCCTCTGTAATGAACGCAACTACCTAAAACACACAGAGTGACAGACAACACAAAAAGAAGGTACTTTTGGTTCAAATGTGTAATACTGTCTTTAAAAAGGAAACCCCCTGTGGCTCTCAGGGGTGAAAAACCCCATTTCGGCAGTCAGATCCGCAAGGATGCGGCTTGGGAGGTCGTATCTGGATACGGAAACGCTCCACCGCCTGATCCTCTACCTCACAGCCTCCGCCTGCTCCGAGCATCCCGGGAATTGCTGGGCGCAGCGGGATTTAGCGCTCTGAAGGCAAACCCCACCGCAAAAGCTTTGGAGGACAGACGGAGCAGTTCCCTCCGGGACCAATCCCGCAAGAGTCGCGGGGAAGCACACCAGACCTCTCGTTTACCCCGGCAACACCGGTCATATGCTTCATGTTAATCACACCCTGACGGGGTTCGCAGGATCAGACTTACAAAAAGCAGTAAAGAACCCATTTTCAAGGACAATTTCCTTTCCGCGTGCGCCCAGGCTGGTTAAGACATCCAGCAATAAAGATAGAGCTGGTCGAAACAGGAAGGAAAAAACATTTCCCTTTGGTTTTTCAACTTTTTCCTGATTGGTTGTTTTTTTTTTTCTTGCCCCCCAATCAACTTATAGATATATTTTCCATTTACCACATTCTCGGGATTTTCTCCCTTTTCCTTTCCAAAAGCAAAACCCCAAATTTTCTGAAAGCACTGAAGTGTTCCCGGAGAAAAAAAAAAAAAAAAAACGATTTGAAAAACGCCCAAAACGACATTTTCCCCGCGAATCTTGATAGGTTTCGTGCACAAAACGCAACCGTACAAAAAAGCCCCTTTTTTTACCAAAAAAAAAAAAAGCGGCAATTTCAACCAGCTTTATCAGCAAAGCGTGCGGGACTGGAAGCGAGAGCGGCAAACCCGGCCAGCATCACTAGGAGCCAGTTTGGAGTTAAATTTTCCTTCACATCCGATTTGGAGATGCTGAGCCGTAGCGCTACGCTTCTCCCGTGGGGTCTACATAAACCAATTTGTTATTTTTATAATTTTTTTTTTTTTTTTCCTTTTGCCTAACTGTGATAAAACTCTCTGCTGGCATAACAGAAACAAACACACACAATATTGCAATACTGAGACCATCTTAGAGCTTAAGACTATTTAAAAAAAAAAAAAAATACTGGCACAAAATTTAATAAAATAAAACTTTAACAAATTTTTTTAAAAAAAAGTCTTGATCCCTCTTAGCAAAAATCCCGTCTTTTGTAGAAAAGACAACCGACAGAAAGGCGATGTAACAAGAACGACAATCAGTTCTTGGTTTTTTCCTATATTGCCCCTCCCCGAAGCAGGAATATTCACCCCAGTTGGATTTCCCCCCCCACCCCCCAAAAAAAAAAGTGTAAAATCCTCAAATCCTCGAGAACACTGTGATTTCCTGAACTGTCAGTTTGTGCGCGAGTAACACAAAAAGCAAAGGGATCCACTCGATAATATTTTTTCTAAACAGCAAGGGATGGGGAGGGGTTTGTTGTTTTGTCTTTTTAAGTGAGCTACATTTTTCTGGCTTTCTGAAAACTCAGAATTTCACCCCAAAAAAAAGCCTGTCTTGGAGCTTTCAGGAAAAAAAAAATAAAAATAAAAGCCCATCCTTCTCCGAACCAAACTTTTGAGGTTTCGACCAAAAGTTTGCCTCTTCCGCCACCCTCTCTCCCGACATCCTCAACGCATCAAATCTGAGTTGCTCTTTACAAATTAAAAAAAATTTTAAAAAAAAAAAAAAAAAAAAAAAAAAAGAACCAACAACGAAAATAACAGCAAAAAATTAAAAAAAAAAAAAAAGAACCAACAGAAAAAGTCCCATTGACTCTTTAAAATGCCCCGGGGGTGATCCTCCGCCCCGGCCACGCGTCTTCACTCATCGGCGTCGGGCTTGACGTCCAGCATGGCGTGGAGCTCCTCGGGCGTGTAGCCCAGAAGGCTCTGCAGGTCGCAGACGAAACGGTAGACGTAGCGTTTCCCGGCCGTCTTGTGGATGATGTTCTTGTCGTAGTAGTAGCGCAAACCGCGGCTCAGCTTCTCGTAGTTCATCTTGGGTTTGTTTTTCCTCTTGCCCCATCGCCTGGCCACCTGGGAGGAGGTGTGTGTTGGGGGGGAGAGAGTCAAGGGAGGGATGCACGTCGCAGGGACGGGAAGGGAATATCAATTTGGCTTGGTGGTGCAAGACACAAGGGAAAAAAAGAGGACTTTCCTCATCGTTTAGATGGACATGGATGGGTCGCAAGTTTGGGAAAACTACCCTCCATGCAACGGCAGAATAGTACAGAGGGCTCTATGAGGATATATCAAGTCAGGGGAAGGGAATGAATGTCCCACCCGTTCCCCAAAAGCAACGGGAAGCCCCTCCTCTCACCTGCACACATCCTATTTGAAAGGGTTTGGCACTACGCCTCTCTCTACACTGTTTCAGCCGCTTCCCACCAGCTTTGGGCGCAAATTACTGCTTCCTACGTATTACCGCAGCCCAATTTTTAATAAGTTTTCGGTTGGGCTCCAATTCATTGTTTTCCCCTACACATACCCAAAACCAGAACGATGCGACCGCCCAAATCTCAGCCCTGCAGGGAGGAGGGGAAGGTTATCCACCCCGATATTTCAGAGGAATTTGGGCCGCGCGCTTAATTGCAGGCCACTTTACCTCGTCTGGGTCGGAGAGCTTGAATTCCCAGCCATCGCCCGTCCAGCTGATGAAGGACTGACAGGACTTGTCAGTGAGCAGTTCCTGCAGGAATTGCCACAGTTGGATGGGTCCACTGCCTAGAAAGACAAAGGAAACAGGAGACATAAATGCCAGGAAAGCACAGCCTCTTATATCCCAGAGGGCGGGGGGGAGAAAAAAAAAAAAAAAAATCACATGCAAACAGTGCTCAGGGAAAAGAAATAAAACCTTCTGCTGTTAAAAAAAAAAGCATCAGCGGCCACAGGGCAAGATCTGGGCTGAGAGTTAAAACCCTGCAGGTAAAAGAGCTTCCTATTTGCAATGAGAGCTGAATATTCATGCACTGGAATGCTTCACTTCGAGTTACGTAAATAGGATTATTTTTCTGGCATCCAAACAGCGAGGAGTCATTGTCTTGGCACAAGAGCACCACCGCTTCCCCCGTGCCAAAAAACCTCCCGGCCATCGCATGAACTCCGGCAGACTCCCGCTTCCCGACCTTGACTCTTTGCTCCGTCGCTGTTTACCCGAGATAAGCGGGGGGGACCCAGGTATGAAAATTATTTGGCTTCTTCCCAGGGCGTGTTGCGGCAGGAATGGGCTAGGCGGGCTCGCGGAGCTCAGCGCGGCGAAGGTAGGGGCTGAATGGCTCAAGCAGACAGATCTCACCACCTCCGGACCGGTGGGTCTCCCCATCTTGGCATGGTCTTCACAAAGCCATAAGCAAACCTCCCTGTGGCTACTGGTTCCCCTAATCCAGCCGGAGAGGCAGAAGGTGGCACGCAGCATCCCGTGCCACGTACGTTCAGCCCCTCCTTACAACGCCGCCGTCTCCATCGTTCCCCTCTGGGTCTTAATTTTGGCCAACAGCAATTTGTCTCGTGGGCCTGAGCCCAACACATCTAACCCGGTGCACCCCACTGAGAGCCTGCGGCTCCCCAGCCTGGTTTCGGCTGGATTTAATGGGGTACGCGGAGCGATTTCAAAATACTTCTCTCTTCTCTGCGCTTGTGTCCCAATCAAGGGTAGAGGAGAAGCCCTCAAGGCAAAAAACTCTTTGATGAGCAACTTCCAAACGCGGCCGCACCCAAAAATATTGCACTTAGCTCTGGGCAACGTGTTCCAGGAGAGATTTTGCCATGTTTTAAACACAGCTTAGAATATATTCACTAATAATAAAAATGACAATAATAATAATAAACACAGCCAGAGGTCAGAGGAAATGATTTTATCTCAAAAAGACCTGCAGAGGCTGGATTAGGGTAAACCCACCTGCTGACACCCATGAGGACAAGCTTCAAGCAGGGAAAAAAAGTTATTTACGCAGAAAAAGGGATGGAGAACGGCCTATTTCCACGAATGACAACGACGGCTGTCAGAGCTGTGGCTGCGGGATAACCCGAAGAGGGAAGAGAGGGCAGTTCCCCCTTTTCCACAAGGTTTAAAATGACTCAAAAGCAGCCGAGCTGCTGGGGAGGAGGAAATGAGAGAGCTGGCTCCGGGACAGGGGAATTGCTCTGCCCTGTCCAGCCTTCCCCAAATTGTTTCCCTCCCGTTATCCCTAAGGAACCGCTCCAGGGTTTTGCAGGCACCGCATCCTCCGCCAAGCCCTGGGGGTTATCGCCCAGCACTGGGCAGGATGAAGCAGAGAGCTCACAGCATCTCTCCGCTTGTAAATGGGAAGACGACACTCAGCGAGGAAAGGCTCCAGCCCGGCGGGAGCCTGCCAAGACGTTGACTCCCCGACCGCGCTCTCCGGTAGGGATGGAGTTGGGTTATCCACGCCAAAGCCAGGGAGGACATTCAGATGACGCCTTCGCCTCTCATTGGAAAGGGGAGTGCCAAAACCCTGGCCTGAAATGCCACCGCCTCTCAAAGCTTCAACCTATTTATAGCAGCGGGCTTTAAATACAGAGAAAACATTGGGCAAAAAGGTTATTTCAGCCGCCTGAGCTCCTCCGCAGGGAATCGCGGGTGAATTCACATGGGGCTGGTTTCTCTTGGCCCATCCAACTTGACACCAATTCCC